ATATATAATATATATCATTTCTGTCAATCTATCTACATGTTAACCAGAAGGTTATTTTTGGTAACTATGATCAGATTTGGTCATGAGGTCCTGACCATGTGATAGGGATAGCAGTAAAAAGTAGGTCCTTACATAGTGTGTTTAATTCTTGTTCACTTTTTCTAATTAGTTTGGAAATCCTTGATTTTGATCAGAAATCTGAAAATGACAAAGACAGTTGGAATTTCCAGCATATCTTATAATACATAAAAATCAGAAAACCAAAATCATTTTTAGGGCCTTAGTAAGACTTTTTTCCCCTACCTCCTAAGTCATAAGATAAAGCAACCTTGAGTATTATCTGGTAAGCATTATTGGTTGAGCAGATAAAGAAATGGCAGAATGTTGGACCAATGTCAAAGAAGAAAAGCTTCTATTACAGTTAATAGTGTTAATTTTGAAGATATTTTAAACTTAACCCTAACAGCTGAAGTATTTAATACAGAAATCAGTGCATATTTTGGTTAAGGAACAATGAAAACATGTTAAAGAGTATTCTGAAACATTTCATTAAAGAAATGATAACTTTTACAATTGCTTGAGGTGCTGTAATATGTCTACTGGTATTCCCAGTTGTTTCACTAAAGTGGCTGTCTGTTCTAAAATCCAAGTGAGGCTTGGGTTTTCAGAATGTGTATGCTGTTGTGTTCTATAACATTCTAAATAGGAATAATCTGTCCCACTAGGACTTGTGCTACAGTTTTTGTTAAACTCAGCATTATTTTCACTGAGTCTTTCATCTGTAGCTTCATCAATCGTTTTCTCAGCTGGAACTCCATGACAAAGGTCCGTATCTTGAATGGAGTCCAATAAATCTACAACATGGGGCTGTGGAGTGACTGATTTCAGATGTTGGAGCACATACTCTTCACATTGGCCAACTGCATCCAGAAGGTTATTTATTTTACTGATCAAAGCTGAACTATTATCATGAAGGTGGCACCAGGAGAGCAAAGCGCTAAATGAAAACATAAACAAGGGTTACATAGGAAAACAAAATTTAACAATCACGTGTTGTTAGAATTTTCGATGCTAAACTCTATACATTTCTAGATAACATCAAGTAAAAATGGGCTAATGATAATAATGTAATTAAAAAAGCAAAAAATTAATGATGGTAGAATAGGATTTTAAAAAATATGAGGAAATTACCTTTCAATATAAATGAAACAATTGGACTTAACCATGTAAGCTTGTTGAAAAGGTATATAATCCAGAGAAAGAGATAAAAAATAAGTTTTTCCCTTAAGGATATCAAGTAACTTCTAAGCTAGTGATTCTCAGTCTTGGTTGCACATTAGAACCCCTTGGGGAGTTTTTGAAACTGAGCTGTAGGTCAAACCTCAGACTAACTATGTCAGAATCTCTTGAGGTAGGACTCAGGCATAAATCTTTTTTTTTTTTTTTTTTTAAAAAGCTCCTTAAATACTTTCAAGGTGCTGCCAATGTTGAAAACCATTGTTCTAAGCATACAGTTGCTCACCATCAATAGTAAAGTTTTGAAACAAATTAACTTTCCCAGCTTTGTCACAGACATGGTTCACTGAGCTATTAACAACTTTCTTAAACAAACCCACTGAAATCAAATTGATTCCAAGTCATAGCAACCCTTTAGGATAGAGTACTAACCTATCCATAGGGTTTCCAAGGCTGTAAATTTTTAAAGAAGCAGACTGCCTTCTCTTTCTTCAGAGGAGTGGCTAGTGGGTTCAAACTGCCGACCTTTTGGTTAGCAGCCAAATGCTTTAACCAAACCAAAAACCAAACTCACTGCCACTTAGTTGATTTCCACTCACAGTGAGACCCAATGGGTCTCTGAGGCAGTAAATCTTTGTGGAAGTAGACTGCCCTATCTTCCTTCTATGGAGCGGCTAGTGGGTCTGAACCACCAACCTCCTAGTTAGCAGTCAAAAAGCCTTAGGCACTGCACCACCAGAGCACCTTAGTTTACCACCAGAGCTCCTTAATTTTCTTAAAGAAGTTAAGAATCCTTCTGGTCCTAATACAGTTAATGTTTTTCTTTACTTTTCTAGTATGGACACTAAAGAACTTTTTTTTTTTCATTTTAGATTGTGCAGATAATCATGTTGATGTTGTTATCACATACAGTCGATTCTGAATCCTAGTGACCCTATAGGACAGAGGAAAATTGCCCCATAGGGTTTCCTAGGCTCTAATCTTTATAGAAGTAATCATCAGGTCTTTTCTCCTATGGAGCAGTTGGTAGGTTCAAATGGGTGGGTTCTAACCTTCCAGTTAGCAGCTAAGCATTTAACCACTGTACAACTAAGGCTCATCGCAGATAATCATAAACATATGAAATAATGATTATTGTGAAACAATGTTTTAAAACTATAATCAATTCACATTAAAAAAACCTATAATCAATTGTTGTAATAAATTCAGCAATAAACTTTCTATACTTATAAAAGATTAATTTAACTTGATGATGTTACAATGAACACTTGATCACTGTCTTATAAACTCTGATTTCTGAGTATGTTTTCCAAAATCTAAACACAATGAATTTTTCTTGTTTTGATCATTTTTATTTTATACTCTTTATTAGTGAGTCTTTGGAGCACTGTGTTTTTCTTTATTGAGGATAATTTAAAAGGTATATAGCACCAAAGAAGACAAGTTTGTCATGCTGCTGGCTCCCTGTATCATTTAACAAAGACATAGTTGTGATATACACCATTGTTGCTATGGTATTTATTTATTTATGGTAATTATGGTATTTAATTATTAGAACTAATGTAAATGGAACCATTTTCTCTTTATTACCTACCATCTATAATCTTCATCATGTACTTCTAGTCTAGAGGTCTGTCATATTGTGTGCTACCACATATGCAAGACTAAAATCTTGTTCAAAACCTGTAGATCTTTTAATTACTTTACATATAGGTCGGTAGTAGTTAGAGGAGCAAAAGTATACACCCCCCTACCATTTCTTTGCAAAAAGGGACCACAACTGGCTCACATCTTAAAGTGGATAACCTGATGATGTTTTTGACTCTTTCAAGGCAATATTTTTCTATGCTCTGTAACATTCTTTTCTGAATTTAACACCAGGACAGGCATTTCAGTTCAAACACTTCATTTTTACATACTACTTGCATAAAAATTCTTCAGTACTATTGAAGTTAAAATGACTCAAAACTTAAGTTTTTTTTTTAAATTACCTTAATGTTCCTCTAAGTTGTCCATAGTTTATAATGACTTCTGCACCTTCCTTATAACCTTGATTGAAGCCTTGTTGAAGAGTAACTGCTTTGCCAGCATCGACTCCGTCTCTATAACCTTCCTAAAAATAAGAAATGAAGAACTGCAGCTGTAACTATTACCATACATACATACATACATACACACTCACTGCCGTTGAGTTGGTTCCGACTCATAGCAAGCCCTCCTTGGGTTTCTGAGGTGGTATCTCTATGGAAGCAGATTGCTCACCCAGTCTTCCAAGGAGTGGCTAGTGGGTTTGAACCACCAGCCTTCTGGTTAGCAGTCAAATGCCTTAGGTACTATGCCACCAGAGTTCCTGTAACTAGTACCAGATGTAGGTGTTTCTAGAAAGACAATGAACCAATTTAGGAAACTGATGAAACGAGCCTTTGCTGTTACTTCACATAATGGTTCTATAACACATGGCGTAGCCTTACAACCAAAGTAGCCTATGCTTCCCATAGAAGTTGTGTATTGGTTAATTTTTCTTTATCCCACTTTTAATGTCTAGACTTACTGGGAAAATTTTAAAATTCTGCTTCTTATTTAATTTTTTTTAACCCCATGTTAGCAATATCTTCAGAGAAAACACACATGAGGAATTATATGTCTAGCCCCTGAGCAACTGACTGGATTGGTGGTGAGGAGGCAAGACAGTAAATAGGGTTAGGGAAAGTATTGAATAAAATAAAATAAAAGCTTGCATAAAGGAGGGAAAAAAAAAAGGGAAGCTGGTTTAGGAAAAGAAATATGAGAAGTCTGATTTTAGAAACTGTTTGATATAAATTCCAATAAACTGCAAAATCTTTGTGGGCACCTTCTATTGTGTCACACCACTCAAACTAGACTCAATATTTATTAGTCTAGCCTCAGCTTTACATGAGGCATTTCTGTAATTGACAATATTGTTTTTTGGTTAAGTAAGTATTATTTTACTGAAACATTAAACAAGAGGGCAGATTCCCAATGGTAGCTTTAAGGGCAATTTAATGGTTGGCAAGGCTTTTAGGTGGACAGGCCCTCACCATTTGGTTCTCATGATGATCTAAGCTCTGAGTGCTCTGTTCTGACATTAGGTGCTTGGTATAAGTTGTCTCAATGAATAGTGAGACAAATTAGAAATGAATAATTCACACCTAACAAATAAACAACCAACCAACCAACTTAATATTCCCTTACCTAGTCACCAGTATTCTGTATTCCAAAACCAAATTCACTGCCATCCATTCAATCCAGACTCACAGTGACTGCCATTGGGTTTCCAAGGCTGTAAATCTTTTTGGAAGCAGACTGCCTCATCATTCTTTCCCATCTTTCTTCCCCAGAGCAGCCGGTGGATTAAAACCACCAACCTTTTGGTTGGCACCCAAATGCCTTAACCACTACACCACCAGAACTTTTCCCCATTAGCCACTGACAATCAGTGGCCTTTACATTACTAAATGCACCCTTTCCATAGTCTTGACAGCACTCTTAATTTTAAGCTCCGCACCCATCCCAATCATCCTTGTAAACTACACATGTCTCTGACAGCCATAATTAGTATGTTGTTGTTGTTGTTGTTGTTTGCCATCGAGTCTGACCCGACTCATAGCGACCCCTCCTTGGGTTTCCAAGGCAGTATCACTACGGAAGTAGATTGCCCCATCTTCCTTCCGAGGAGTGGCTGGTGGGTTTGAACCGCCAGCCTTCTGGTTAGCAGTCAAGTGCCTTAGCCACTATGCTACCAGAGCTCCCTCAGTGCATATTTTTTTCTCCACCCCCTTCCCTGTGATCCTCATCAAACTGCAACCTCTTCAAAGTTTGGACAAAGTTTATTTGATCCGTCCCCAGCGCCGAACGCACGCTTTCAAATAACCCTTTGAGAAATTCTAACAATATGCGGGCCGAATTGGTCGCAAGGGGTAGGGAGGGCAGCGCTGGCGCAGGCCAAAGGCACTCTGCCTTCTTCTCTCCGAACCCAATTCTTTCATAATCTTCGTGTCCCTCTCCCTGCAACTCATCACCCCGGGAAACTCTCACGTCCTACACCCAGCTTTACTTTGACTCGTCTGTGCATGTGGTTTCGCCACTCCCGCTGCACCAGGAGCGACTCGTCCGCCTCCTCATCAAACACATCTCTCTCGTCTCCAGGGCGCTGGATCAAGGTAGCCGCTTGAACCCAAGACATCACCGAGGCAACCACGGGGTCGCCGGGTACCGGAAGTTCCAGCAACTCTTCCGGTCTGAGGGGCGGGGACAAAAGTTGAGGTTTCACGGTGCGCGTGTGCGGTGTGAGTGTGTGTGTGTGTGCGCGTGCGTCACGGTGCGTGTGTGTGTGTGTCACGTGTATGGCCTGGATGTACGTTGGTGCGTGTGTCGGGTGCGCGGCGCGTGGGCGCGCGCATGTGTGTCGGATTCGCTACTTTGTGTTTTCTCTTCCAGGCGTATTGGAGCTCCCTCAGTTGACACAAAATGTGGGCGTGTGCCAGTTGTGGGCTAGGCGCATACGACCTTGGCTTCTGCGGAAGGCAGCTTCAGCCATCAGTGAAACACTTTCCATTGCCACCATGATCTCTATGGTGGCCTGGGTTTTACAAGACGCGGGCATTGATAAAACTCTTCTAAACCCATTGCTTTCCAGTCGATTCTTACAGCGACCGTATAGGATTTCCAAAGCTGTAAGTCTTTAGGGAAGCAGACTGCCATAGCTTTTTCCACAGCAGAGCGTGGATTCCACCGCCAGTCTTCTGATTAGCAGCTGACGGCTTTACGCTGAGCCAAAGCATTTCTAGTAGTTAAGTTGGTGGGCAAGTACTAGCCAAAGACTCCTTGTCTTTTAGAACCCCACATAGTGAGTTCGAGTGATTTTACAGCCTGACGTTTTAACTGTTAGGAGCATGAAGCAAAAGGAAATAGAATGGAAAAGTTAGGTACAGCAGCCAACTTGAAGACAGTAAGAAATGGAAAGAGTATATTTGTAACACGAGTACATTTCTCATTGATTCGTAATGTCCTTCCCTGGCTCCTGTACATCTTCACTTGTGCTCCAAAAGAAGACTGGTGGCTCCCAGGGGTCAGGGAACTATCTTGTTTATATCCTCAACACCAGCAGGGTTTCGGCACAGTGTAGGTATTCAAATGAAATGAATGAACACCAGTAGTACAGTATTTCCCCCTCCCCTTAGTTTTGGCCCTTTGTGTGAGTAAAATGAGTCACGTGACAATGATTTATTTATCTACAAATGTTTCTTGAACATCTGCTTTCTGCCAGGAACTGTTCTAGGCTTTTGGGATACATTAACGAATAACACAGGCAAACACTCCCTGCCCTCATGGACTTTTTATATTCATGTAGAATTGATAGATGATAAACAACAAGCAATATATAAATAAGTTATATAGCTTGTTAGAAGATAATAATGATAAATGCTATGAAAAAACTGAAAACAAGCAAAGTAACAGGAGCCATGAATGTGTGTGTGAGAGTAGGGCGATGGTGGTGCAGGTTGCAATCTGAATTATTCAGAGAAAATTTTGCACCCCACAAATAAAGAATGTATATGTTTTTTTTTTGGTATGTCCATAGAATGTGTGTAAAAACCATTCTGTACTTTTGCACACACACAGAAAGATAACTAGTAAATTAAAGAGACTAGAGATCTTATAGGTCAAATTCTCTGATCATATCCAATAAAAATGAAGGTAAGAATGATCCCCAATAATTTTAAGTATACTACTGGACATTAGAAATGCATTCCTAAATAACATTTGTAGCAAAAAGGAAAATTACATATGTAGAAAGGAATTACAATTAGAATATATCAAAACATATGGAACTAAATGAAAGCTGTTTTTATTGTTGTTAGGTGGCTGTCAAGCTGGCTTTGACTCAGTGACCCTACGTACAACAGAACAAAATGCTGCCTGGTCCTGTACCAGCCTCACAATCCTTGCCACACTGAGCCCATTGTTTCAGCCACCATGTCAATCCAACTCTCTGAGGGCCTTCCCCTCCATTGGCCCTCCATTTTACCAAGCATGACATCCTTCTCCAGGGAATGGTCCCATCTTACAACACGACCAAAGTAGGTGAGAGGAAGTCTGGCCGTTCTTGCTTCTAAGGAGCATTGGAGCTGCACTTCTTCCAGGACAGATCTGTTAGCTCTGGCAGACCATGGTACCCTCAATACCACAATACCACAACTCAAAAGCATGTATGAAATGCTGTACTAAAAGGCAATTCTATAAGCTTAAATGTTTTTACTGTTAAAAAAGAAAGACCACAAACTTACTGTAAATATTAATTAGAAACAAATTGAGAGTAAAGGCAGCAATAAAAGTAACAATTGAAATGAATGAAATGGAACCCTCCGAAAGCTTGTGTAAATAAATAAAAAAAACTAATTATTTGAGAAAACCAGTAAGATATGTAATCCCTTCACAACTTTGATTAAGAAAAGAGAAAAAAAAATTACACAAAATAGGAATGAAAAAGGAGACAACCACTGATACAAATTCAAATATTTAAAAAAATTCAAATGTACAAATATCATCTATCAATTCTACAGTGTGGCAATATACAGGACGAGGCAAGAGTAAAGAATTTGAAAACCTAGAAGATATGAATGATTCCTAAAAATACATAAATCCCAAAATTAACCCAAGAAGTAGAAAACTTGAAGAGTCTAATTACCATAGAAAAATTGGGAGATTAAACATTTACTATAAAAAATGAAATGAAGACTGTTATTGTTGTTGTTATGTGCCGTCGAGTCGACCCCCGACTCATAGCGACCCCTCCTTGGGTTTCCGAGGCAGTATCACTATGGAAGTAGGATTGCCCAACCTTCCTTCCGAGGAGTG